GATAAAGTCCAAAAGCGTTGACAAAACACACACAGTCCTGAGAAGGAAAATCTAAACATGAATTATTGTTTACAGTGTAACGTTGAGACAGAAGAAATTGCACTATGTATTTGGCAGCCATAATTTCATGCATTACTAACCATGACAGTACATAGTCAGTTCTGTTCAATACATTTTCATATGAGAAGCAAGTGCATTGTTGGCTTTTGTACACAGAGATAAAAACAGATCCAAACTGCATGACAAGATCTTCCCTTTTCTTGGGAGATGCTTCCAACCAACATGAGCGATCTCGCCCTTGAAAATTGTCAGTACAGCAGAAACGAGACCTTTTCATTGTTAGCCGTTGTTTATTATTAGACTCCCATCCTACGAAAAATACACGCGCAAGCCGATCTGAACTTTATTTTAATAAATAGAGCTGAAAATCTTACAAAGTGAACCCCACCCCCTCTCCTAAACCAACACCCCCTCCTGGTCCCGATGTAAATTACTCTAAACTCTAAATATTTGTTTTGTGATGTAGTGTTAGACTCAGAGCATCTTCAAGGTTGTCCCTAAAAAAGTGCCTTTGTTCACAGACTCCATCTTGTAATCCTCAGTGCCCGTCTCAGAAACCCCACCTTTCAACCCGCTTCTATATTCTCTCCTTCTTCAAGCTCTTCAAAGCAGTATATATAGTACTAAAGGAAATCGGTGTGACTTAGTTCCTCTTTTTATTGTTGATGCTAAAATTGAAAAAAAAAAAAAGACCAAAAAAAAAGTCCTTCCTGTCTTGCTTTTCCTTCCTCTGTACTCCTTTCCTTGTCTTCTGCCTCTCTTGGACACTGGAATAGTCTGTAGTCGCATAACCATCTTCTTTCCTGCCCTTCCCCATTTTCATTGAATGGAGGGGTTTTTAAAAGAAAAAAAAGAAAAAAAAAGAAAAAACTTTTTGTCTGAGCAGAATGCAGTTAGCTTACATGTTATTCTTGTCTGTATGCTTCACATTGTATACCATACCGATCTCTTCAGCTTCTCCATTGAACAGTTAATGTAAGTGAACAAGTTACACCAGTGGGCTCTGGCGGGATGTCAATCAAAGGGTGTATGAAGGGGAAAAGGTTCCACCATGGAGCAGTTGATCGTATTTTAGTGAAGGAAGAAGTCGTCTAAAATGGTGGTGGAAGGAATTTAGGCTGCTGGGTTACAATAGGTTTGTGACTTGTTTTGACTGTATTTATTTGCTTTGTTGTTGTTTTTTTTTTTTTTTTACCAAAATTCATTTTTTATCTTTTTTTTTTTTTTTAAATATTGCATATTTAGGTGGCACCAATGCCACACTGAGAATTTTTATACTGTAGATGATGCACCTTTGCAATGGTTATACGAGACCAGCTACTTAAACACTTGGAAGAAAAACGACCTGAAATTACTAAGCACCTTATTACGGAATGGGTTCAGCAATGGATGAGACACAGATTCAGAAATTTGGAAGAGGAAAAAAAAAAAAGACGCAACCGAGAATCCAGTTTAGTCTGAAATTATGAGCCAAGCCCCTCAGACCAAACTGACAAGCTGCATGCCATCAAACCTGAACTGTAGTGATAATTAAGATGCCTTGAAAATCATTAACGCACCAGCAAAAGAATAATCTCAGGCCTACAAATCACAGCCTGATTGTCGTCCCACATAAATATGCAAACTTTTCCTAAGTACATGAAGCCAGCAACAATATCAGCCATGATTACAAGAGACGAGATTACAAGAGAGAGGGGAAAAAAAAAGCCATAGTGTTGTGGACAGAACTCTCCCAGGGCCTTGTCCCTTCCTGGCGCTGACCATCCGTCTTTTAAACTTTTTATGTTTCTTGGTAGAGTGTGTAGGGTGTTGGGATAAGTGATAAGCTTAGAGTAGATCGATTTCCCAGCAGCCTTTGCCCTGGCCCGTAGCTTCTTCACTAACCCTAAAAAGCTATTGCCCTCTTTATAGACATGCCCTCCAGAGCTCATGGTGAAATGCATGTGTTAATTACAATTTCTTTTCCATAATAAGAAAAACAGTTTGAAAAGAGCAGCACCTTTAACTGATTGAATAAAAGGATGTTCTTGACTGTAAAAATGACTGATTATTTTTGACTTGGGGCACTTTTTCCTTTTAGTTAAAAATGGCTTCAGAATGGTTGTGTATCTATATCGTCAAACATGTAAGACTTTGTTGGCCAATATTTCCAGCTTTAATGTAACTGACTTTAAATCCATTCATTCGTTTTCACTAACCATTTTATCTTGCGCAGTGTCACTGTGGATCCAGAACCTATACTGAGAGCACTGAGCATTAGGCAGGAATACACCCTGGGTGCGACAGACACATGTTCACTCTTAGGAGCTGTTTAGAGTAGCCAGTCCACCTAGCAGCATGTTTCCAAAAGATGGTAAGAAACCCTCGTGCATAAGGGAACAACACGCTACCATATGTGCCACGATGCCACCTTAAATTAGAGAGTTGTTCTATTTATGACTTTATCTGCACACAGGGTGTCCCAAGTCTTTATACACAGGGGACTATGTTTGCCAGCGTCACATCAGTTGTTCCTTCGTCAGTGGACGTTTGTGGTCACAGCACCTCCATAAAACAAGCCACGCAGAAAACAAACGTTACACAAATAATTACTTTTTTCCCTTGTAAACAATACTAGAAATCTTTATTATAACAAAAAAATCATTCTCGTGGGAGGTACTTAGAAAAAAAAATGTCAAAATGGTCATTCTGGCATATCTTATATTATATTTTACATTTGTTCTCAATCCGCTATGTTTTGCAATGTCTCAAACTCAAAATATAAATATTTTTACTCATTTGCATGAAGGGTGTCAATAATTCTGAATGGCACTCTATATGCTATAGCAAAGCCTGAAACCCATTTGACCATTAATTTACTGCTAGCTCATTTTAAACACAGTCCGCTGTGCAGCGGTGACAGTTTTCCAACAAACTTTACAATTTTGTTTGTTTTATTCAAATTTGGGGTTTTCATGTAATGGATAATTTATCCAAATATAATAATATAGAGTATTAAATATTTATTACAAAGGCACAATCAGTTATAGCTGGTATTACAGTAATGTACACTTTTTTTTCTTAAGATCACATGTACAGTGTTGTTCCTGGGCAAAATTTACAGATTCATTAAGAAACATCAGATGTTTTGGCTTCAAATTGTAAACATTCTTTTATAATATGGTGAATATGAAATAGATTATTTATTTATTTATTTTTGCATATGGCAAACTATTCAGGAAATATATAACCAAAATTTCCTGAATATGATTAAAATATACATTGCAGCAGTTATAGTGTTAATATCTATTAAAAATACATTTCTTTACAAGTATTAAGGGATATAACTAACACATACACGCACACACTCATGGATGGTAGATGTTGCCATGGTCACAACACACCCAGTCAATCAGCTCGGAGCGCTGAAACCAAAGCGAGATCTCCTTTTGTGCCACTTCTACCGAGTCAGAGGCATGCACAACGTTCCTGTAACATTAGCACAAAACAGAAGGAACCCGTCATCAGGCACCTGTGCACTAAATACAAATCTTGCAAATGTTTAGTTACGACCAGTTAACAGTAAGACCCGGTGCATGTGACGGAGTGTGTAAGTACCTGCTAACATGAATGCTAAAGTCTCCTCTCAGAGTTCCAGGTGCAGCTTCAGCTGGGTTTGTGGTTCCCACTAGCATTCGTGTTGACTTTATTACATTGTGGCCCTCCCACACCTATGAAAGATGGTTAAAGTCAATAGAATGTTTACCTTAATAACAACAACTTTGTGTTGTTTTTATTTATTTCATTTGAATCCCATTTAAACCCATTTCACTGAAACTTTAAGTGTTAAACTGAAATGTTAAAGGTAGTCAGTAATATTGGCAGAAGTTAGTTGCCTTCAAAGCCACATGCCCAAACCACATGCACAGCCTAAGCCGTGGTACATGACAGTTTGTGAACCTTTCAGAATTTTCTATATTTCTGCATAAATATAACCTAAAACCTTATTAGATTTTCAGCAATTAAAAAAAAAAAATTCTATCTCATTTTTATCTCGTTTATTTAATTGGGTTCTCTTTATCTACTTTTATTTATGCAGAAATATAGAAAATTCTAAAGGGTTCACAAACATTCAAGCACCAACGTAGATTACTTTATTAACTGACAGGCAACCAGAGACACATCTGTGTCCTGATTGGTTAGATGTTGGAAGTCCATGTCAGTTGCTTTTGTAACACTTTTCATTAAAGTTCTCTTAGCTGACATTATTTAACACATCAGTTATGTATAGAACTTCAGCACTAATACAACTTTAACAAAATAACTAACACTCACTGCCACCTCAGAGCTCCAGTGGACCAGGTTCGATCCTGAGCTTGGATTACTGGTCTGTGCATGTTCAGGTTTCCTCCAGGTTTTCTTGTTTCCACCCACAGTCCAAAAACATGCTAGTAGATGGATGGGCTAGTTAAATTGCCACTAGGCGTGAATGTGTGTGTGCATGGTGCCGTCTGATGGACTGGCATCCCATACAGGGTGTATTCCTGCCTCTCAACCAGTGCTCCCAGGATGGGCTTCAGATTCACCAATAACTTGACCAGGATAAAGCACTTACTGAAGATGAACCAATGCACCAACATATTGACTATAATGAACTTGTTTGAGGTTGTTAACTGGTAACCTTGAAAAGTGAGGGTTGAATAGCAATTGCAAATATTTACATCTGGAGACCAGAGTTCAGCAACTTATCAATATTTGGGAACATGTTTTGTTTTTTCCCCCCTCTTTCGGCTGCTTTCGACCCGTTTCGGGTCACCACCGCTGATCACACGTCCACATATTGATTCTGGCATGAGTATTACGCCGAATGCCCTTCCTGACGCAACTCTCCCTATTTTCCGGGCTTAGGCCCAGCACTGAAAGTACATTGGCTCGTGCAACCCTCCAGTCGCTGGGGTCGGTTCCCTGACTGGGAATCGAACCCAGGCCACAACGATGAGCGTGCCGCATGCTAGGTACTACTCCACCAGGGAGCCATTGAGAAACATGCTGTAATTTAATAAATATACAGAAGCAGGTGTAGTTCGGTAACATTTAAACAAATATAAATTAATGCTTGTTAACATTACATACAGTTTAGTAATGTTAACTAATGCAGTAAATAAAGTTAGTTAAGGAAACGTTCGTGGAAACTATCCCCCTTGTTTTCATTACAAAGACTAGGGGAGCTGCAGAGTATTTTCTGCTCTGAGCAAATATTTTAATTATGCTGTCAGAATGTGAGGAAAACTCGTACCGATATAACACACACCCGATGCTGGCACAATGTGCACAATTTACATCACAATAAAGTGATATGCAGCTCATTTGCTCATTTAGATAATATCAGCACAATGTTGATTCTAATCACTGTTACGGCTTTTTAATATGCCCATTTTTATAGCTTTAGACAAGAATATTTATTTAGTTGCTGACTATGGAGAAGATTCTATTACAGATTGAAAAGCGGGGGATTTCTTTTTGTATCAGTTTAATGCTGACTTCAGAATCTGTAACAAATCTAGCTCCTACTGTTTCTCAGCCATTTCCTTTTGCTGGGCAGATTGTGTGATGAGACCGCAATCTAGATGAAAATTACTGAGACGCTATCTTATTATCTCACTGGGAAACGATGTCGGAAAACAGCATTTAGATGTTCTGTCTGGAGTTGCTTTGTTGCCAAGTTTTTTGTTTTAGTTCTAGATCCTCACCATTGCCACCACAGGCCCTGAGGTCATATATTGCAGTATGCTGGGGTAGAAAGGTTTCTTATGAAGGGACACATAATGCTGGGCCAGTAATTCTTCAGATACCTAAAACACATATATAATAATAAATCATTACTCAATGTATTTCTATCACACTCATAATGTACAAAGAACACAGTCTGCTATCCATTACCATTAGCCAGAAGTGGGTAGACTAGCCTTAAACCTCAAGTACTCAAGAAATTTCTCTCATGTCCAGGCTTAATTTTTCAAGCAAATCTCATTTGTATAAAAACTAATTACAATTAAGTTGAAGCCATATAAAGGAAGAAATTTGAAAAGCAATCTACGGATGAAACTTTAAGTAAAGGGGTTCCTAATAAAGTGGACAGTGAATGTATATTCCTAATGAGCAAGACGGATATGACAGTGGCAAAGAAAAACTCGACAAAACAACATAAAATCAGGTTTTGGCCAAAATTGGGGTTTAACATACGTTTATACCGATACTTTAATAAAACATAAATATATTTCACCAAAATGCTGTAGAAATGTTTGTGATTTCATCAGGTTTGATTTCAGCACTGATGCAAGGGTGGACAGTGAGAAGTGAAAAACGATGATGTGGCTTGTGTTCATGAAATGCCACGACTCACAGTTACCTCAAGTGTTTAGACTAGAGACATCGATGTGGATGACGCTTATGATCAAAGTCATTACTTGTTTCGTGTTGTAGATTTATAATCTTTAATAAATTATTAGTAAAGTTTTTACTTAAAAGTATATTTGTATCTGTACAACAGTGCTACAGTTAGGGTTAAAGGAATCCACAATTAAAAGAAAATGCATGATTCCAAGTACAGTTTATTCAAAAAGTGATCTAAATAAATGTAAGTGTAAATAAGTGTAGCGCTTAACTACTCGCCTCTGCCAACACTTTCTGTGATTTAAAACCACCGTGTGTGTACACATCAAACACAGCAAGAGCAAACACTCACCTGCACCATCTTCATCCCTACCAAGCGGAACCCGCGCTGCTCAAAGCGTTTAATGATCTGACCGATCAGACGCCTCTGAACCCCATCCGGCTTGATGGCAACCAGAGTGCGCTCTTTTACACCAGGAATGTCTGTATTAAGGTTCACATGTTTAACTATGTAGTGCATTCATAGCTATGGCGTACAGTATATTACATAGCATCAGGTACTTATTTAAGCAGCTAAAAATCCTGGTCACTGAAATGTACACATGTAGACAGAAAGATTCGTCCAAATGATAATATAATAATAATAATAATAATAATAATAATAATAATAATAATAATAATAAAAGCTTTGTATGAGCTGTCAATATGTTGAACTCAATTCAAGCTTGAACTAATTTTCCTTTCCTGTCTGGATTTTTGGGTGTGAATCGTCCCTTAACACAAACACACTGTTATCCTTTATCCACTTATCAAAACACTAATTCCGCATCACTATTGATTTGGCTCACTACAGCAATTAACACATCACGATGTGATTTAAAAAAAAGAGAGAAAAAAAGTAATCTGTCCTTTATCTTACCTAATTTCACACTACTATGCACATAAACATTCACACACACACACTTGATTAAAGAATACTTTCTTACAAATGTGAAGTGCATGTGATTTGTAAAGTCAGTCATCATCATTCACGTTAGAAAACACACACACACACACAAAGAAGAGTGCATTTGAGGTTGCTGATACTGGTTTCCAAGTGAGAGTTGTTGAGGACAAATATTTGGTGTAGAATAGAAATGAAGATACAAGTATAAGAGCACATTAACATTCAGGGAGAGATTCCGAGAGTTTTCTATAAATCATGCTGAGAGAGAGAGAGAGAGAGAGAGAGAGAGAGAGAGAGAAGAGAGAAACACACAGACAGAGAAAAGGTAAAAGAGAGAGAGAGACAGAGAAAAAGAGAGAAAGAGAGAGAGAGAGAGACAGAGAGAAAAAGTCAAAGAGAGAGAGACAGAAAAAGACAATGAGAGAGAGACAGACAGAGAAAAAGACACAGAGAGACAGACAGAGAAAAAGTCAGAGAGAGAGACAGAAAAAGACACAGAGAGAAAGAGACAGATAGAGAAAAAGTCAAAGAGAGAGAGACAAAGACACAGAGAGAGACACAAACAGAGAGAAAAAAATCAAAGAGAGAGAGACAGAGAAAAAGACAGAAAAAGTCAGAGAGGGAAAGAGACAGAGAAAAAGTAAAATAGAGAGAGACAGAGAAAGAGAGAGAGACAGACAGAGAAAAGGTAAAAGAGAGAGAGAAAAGACAGAGAAAGAGACAGATAGAGAAAAAGTCAGAGAGAGACAGAGAAAAAGACACAGAGAGAGAGAGAGAGAGACAGACAGACAGACAAAAGTCAAAGAGAGAGACAGAGAAAAAGACAGAGAGAGACAGACAGACAGACAGACAGACAGAATTTCAAAAGCCTTATATTTACAATTTTTTAAATGCTACATCGACCTACAAAGAGAGAGAGACAGAGAAAAAGACACACAGAGAGAGAAAAAGTCAGAGAGAGAGAGACAGAGAAAAAGTCAGAGAGAGACAGAGAACAAGACAGAGACAGAGAAAAAGACACAGAGAGAGAGAAACAGAGAAAAAGACAGAGAGAGAGACACAGAGAAAAAAGTCAAAGAGAGAGACAGCGAAAAAGACAGAGAGAGAGTGAGAGCGATAGATAGATAAAGAAAGAGAGCGAGAGCGAGAGCGATAGATAAAGAGAGGGAGAGAGAGAGACTTTGGCTCCCAAATTCGGAATCATTTTAGTTACTAGTGCACTAGATTATATTATAAAAACCCCATATTTATCCATCACTCCCTCTCAGATATTTTCCTCATTATTCCACCAGATGTAAACTGATTTCTGGCCTTCATCTTGGATTCAGTTCATACTTCTCTCAGCCCACTGTACAGTATGTTTAAAAGAAAGAAAGAAAGAAAGAAAAGAAAGAAAGAAAGAAAGAAAGAAAGAAAGAAAGAAAGACACTCCTATGAAAGGAGAGCACGTGAAAACACATGCACATCATTAACCATGGTTTCACTAATCATTTCATCTAGAAAGCACGTGGGGACACTGCCAGAGAACAGGACATGTCTCTGTGTGAAAGACTAGAGAAAAGACTGAATAGGGGACACTGCCAGAGAACAGGACATGTCTCTGTGTGAAAGACTAGAGGAAAGACTGAATACAGTACTTCAGTAAAACAACTGAAACCATGCGCTGCTAGCTGAAGTGCAGAGTGAGGCGCGCGCGTCTTCGCATCGCTACCACAGGAGTAGCCTGCATGCTAACGGCGGAAGTCTCCCACATTTTCACTTCCAAATGAAAGAACACGACCCCTTCCTACACGTCAGGTGTGCTCTTACAGCACCATCACCGAATAACACGCTACCCTATAATGTCACATATTAATGGAGCAGGACATGGAGGTTAAAACAGGTTTCGATTTCTGGATTGCAGTCAAAATACCAATCATGCCGAAGTGTCCTTGGGCAAGACACTGAACCCCAAGTTGCTCCCAATGGCAAGTTAGTGCCTTGCATGGCAGCTCTGCTACCACTGGTGTGTGTGTGTGTGTGTGTGTGTGTGTGTGTGTGTGTGTGAATGGGTGAATGAGACACAGTGTAAAGCGCTTTGGATAAAAGCGCTATATAAGTGCACATTTACCATTTACCAATCAACACGTAAATATAATGCAGTTTAGAAAACTAATAATAAATAAATAAATAAATAAAAACCTTTAAAAAAAATTCACACATTTGCTACCTTTCACGTGTTTCACATACTCGCATGCATTCTCATGCGGTGTTCACATAGCTATTTCCCCACAGCACATAAAATATGAATATGAACACATCATATATTTCTTTTAATGTTATAATAAAAAAGTTTTCTGAATTGGGACTTTACTTGGAAATGATACCGTATATCTTTTCAGTCTTCTCTCAGTTTCTTACTAACCTGTACTCAACAACACAGCTATTCTAAGATCTGAGCAAGTAAAATCTGGTGTCATTGAACGCACCCTAAACTGTGACTCCCATAATGACTATCCTCGGTCTCATTAGGGATCCATTCGAGCGCACTGACACGCTCGCTGAGGCAATAAACTGCACGAACTTCAGCCTTAACTTCACCAGCACACTCATCTAAACACAAATTAAGAATGTATTGTAACTTGTTCATGAATTAGTCACGAGGCAAGTCTAATATCAGCAACACTGAAACAAAAATCTCACTAAAGAGACTAC